TCGTTGTATTTCTCGCAGATGTTTACTTTTTCAATATCATACTTCTAGCAATCTCAATTGCAACTGTCGTTGTCAACTTAAAGGTTTACTATCTTTTATCTTCTGTGAGACTACTAAGGTTTACATGTTTAGTAATAATGAACGTTTTTCAACGAAATCTCAGGCACTATCAGCCGTGAAAGCAGCCGAATTCAGCAATTCGGTCATCTCTCAACGTAGCAGCAATCGTGGACGCTTGATCTCGTTCATTGTCTACTGTGCACCTCTGAATATTCTCACACTCCCGATTATAGGTGATGCACTTCTTTGCTTGAAATTATGCATTGCTATTATTAATAAATCACCTGCTCGTCTAAATAATTAATATTAGGCATCATCCGCGAAAACAGTCTCCCAGTAAACCAATATATGTTCAATCGTTGTAGATTAGTAGTTGTTTTGCTCGGCTCATGCGATTAGGAACTGAATCATTCGGCTTTTTTGGAGAATTCTTGATAAATTACTGATAACCTTTCTTGATGAGACTTTCAGCAGCATTCAGAAAAATCCATTTATGCAGGAGAACACCTAAGCGACTTTTTGACTACTATTCATCAATTTTCAGCATTTATCGTGACTGAGATTATGGCTGTTGCTGGCGTTAACAACGATTTCAGCCACATCGTACATAAGTACAGCCCCGTTTTGGAATTCGAGGTGAGTGCTCGTGATTTTGATAAAGTCACCGTTTTCTAGTTGAATTGCTGCATGCAACGATGGACGGTATTTCAGGCACGAACAATTGTGCTTAGCTTGTGCACACTATGCGCTCTACCATGCTACCGACGAGCCATCCGGGAAATTTTGAGACCCGTGAAACTCATCAAGTGCGCAACAATATGGCACAAGTCGAATCGTACTCGTCAGGCGGGCACTTGAAACATTTGACAGAAAACTGTTGACAGTCATTCCATTCGATAGTCGCCATCAAGTTCTTGTGATGAAATTGATTGGAATGTTGCGATTATATGATACAGTTATGGGGTATCTTTTCAGTGGAATTGAATAAAGTTGAATGGTTGAACGCGTGTTTGCATTCTGTTCACTAACTATCAAAACTGTCGCATACTCGCAAGATTTGTTCAATACGTGTTAATCATCACTTCCATTAGTCACACATATATACGCAAAAAGTATTTATGAAGATAATAGTAATATTACGACAATAATAATAACTGGTTTTGGTAACCTGTTAAACCCTTGTTTGATGGAGAATTATCGATGCATTGAGCGAAATATCGCAATTTTAGACACGTTTTTTCTTGAAGCACCGAAGTTTCACGACATAAAAAGCAGGAAAATAATGAATGAGTCTCATTTGTTCAAAGAGACTTGTGCGAATTAATTTGGTTGAANNNNGCAATTGTTAGCAACACGATTATCATCAATTTGGACTGAGTTCTTCATTTAATCCATGTTTATCTTCGTTGCATTTTCAACGTGTTTAGATGGAATCCTTAGTGGCAGGTGGTAAACGATATGCGCTTTTAAAACTGTCGCATACTTTAAATGACATGTGTTGACAGCCATAATGATCATCAGATCATAGGTGAAAAAACGAGAACGAAAAAATAGGAAACATACGAGCGTTTTTCAAACGTTATAAAAGTTTTGTGAGTGAATACTGCTGCCTATCGTTGTTCCAGTCTGTTACCTAGCGATTCATCAGGTGCGTTCATTTCAGAGGTGTATTTTTTCTTCCAGGGAATGCATCCCTATTCTCTGATTGTTGAACTACTCTTCGCAGTAATAGGTTTTGGTGCATCACATGAGGCACCAGCAAAAAATACGGTAACATCCAAAGATGCTACCAAGATAACACTGCCGAATTGCGAGGTAAAAGCGACAAGCCCACCAAGAGTGACAGCTGCAGAAGAATTTCTCGAGATCATCTCAATGAGAAACAAAACGGTCGATGAGATCGAAAAGCAATTCCGAGCTTGGGCCGACAAACAAGGTGGCGATGTTAAGGTGAATGAGTCATCAGGATAAAAGCTTTAGAAGGGTAACAATTTCAATGTGTGGAATACAGTTCGTGATGATTTCCCATTTGCGATACAGTTTGCTTTTGCTTTTTTGGCTGCGATATCGCTTGATATTTTCACGAAAATGGAAATGGTTTCAGGAGAACTATAACAAGGCTGCAGCTAAGCTTGCTGAGATTGTTCATGCTGTAGATGAGGTCGCAGAAAGCTCACCGCTGGAAGCGCATGGTAGAGCTGCCTTCGACAACATTGAAGATCTGTTGATGAACAGAAACGAAACGATTGCTGAAGAAATTAGAACAATTACGGATTACGTGAAACAGTTAGCCAACGAGACAAGCCGTGAAATGCGTGAATTTATTCAGAACGAAAAGGCGAAGATTAATGAAAAGATTGAACATTGAAAATTTTTAGTGCATTTCGTCTGGATTGTGTTCGCAGTGAACCAAATGAATCTTCACTTCAATATTCTCTGCATGATGCACTGAAATGTTCACGCCAACAATATTCGGGTTTCTAAGAGATAGCAAAAAATTTTAAAGTTTTTTTTCGATCAGCGATCCAAAAACACGACCCAGACAGGGGTCTCTAAGCTGAGCATTGAATGATCTGGGGAAAGATTTTGTGCTACTTCGTTGGACGACATTCTTGAACAACACGAGTATGACCAAAACGTTCCACAGATGTGGGCAGACTAGGGCTTGCAAAGTCCCGACGATTTTCCAATCCCAGGATCGGGATTTAATCCCTGGATCAATTTTTGATTCCGGGACATTTCTGAGGTGGTTGTTTTACTCGAAGTTGTTCATTTTGCTCAACTTTTGGAGAAATCAAACAGTGGAGATTCTTAGCCATCAAAACTGTAAGATCGGTACAATTTTCGTTGTTATTTGAAGTATCATTGCTATTTCCAATGTAATCATTGATGCATTGTCATCAAATATTTTAATGAACTTATAACATCATAACATTTACTACTGAATCTTTCAACATTTATTAAACTTTTCAAAAAGTAATTTCAAAATGAATTTATCAGATAAAGTTCATCTTATCGCTAAATTGTGTGTTTTGCCATTTGATCATTCTTGTTGATTTTGTGCAAGCTCACCGAAGATACGATATGTCTTCAACAGATCCTGTCGTTGATCTGCAACAAAGTCCTTCACCGACATGCATGATTATGAATGAAAAACAACTGATATTTTAAGATGGAGAATTAGAATCATGCAGAAAAACTAATGGCTACATCCGTAATATCTCATTGCCTGTACAATCATTTTCCAGTGATAGCAGTGATAATGGTAATATTGGCGATCAAAGTTGCTCAATCGTTTGTCATAGCAGAATTTCTATGACAGCAAACACAAAAATTGCTGATAGCTTTGACTTCATGCACATACCTTTACTGCTAAATCTTCGTTCAGCCCATCTGTAAGCAAGACATGGCTTGTGATTGCTCTAAGTTGTGTTGAATTCACTTTAGATCCCACACCAACAATGATTAGTTTGTCTTTAGGAGAAGGAGAAATGATTCTTGCAACATCACTTTCTGCAAACTGCGAGTCTAAATCTCGGCTGAAAACAACCAGTGACGATTATTCAACAGACATGTTCTATTGTTGGTTTCGCGTTGATACATCCCAAGACATTCTATCTTATTGTCATGGTCTTAGCTGTCGAAATAAACCAGTAGTTACATGTTTTATCAAAAAATTCTTACTTTCACTGATGGAACCGCTTTTATGAAGCGGTAGCAAGTATAATAAATTGCTGATTGCCTTATAGCGCCTCTCTCAACGCATTTGCTTAAACTCGACATCGGTCAATAAGACACTATAAGATTGCAACGGATACGATCTTCGAGCCATCATCAAAAAGAGATTTATCAGATCCATTGATGATATAATGGATTAACTTGTAAACTAACGTGTCATATGCGAAGAAAATGTTTGTATGAGGTCTTCCATATGGAGCGATCATCCAATCCTTAGAAACCAGGAGTATTGCACTGCAAGATTATCTACGATGAAAGGTCAAAAGCAAATCCTTTAATCTGATCTGTTAACATACTATATCACTGCTAGTGTCATCTTCAGTTTGTCATAACTTCAGTGAAAAATTTGAAATTTATATGGCCGCCATAGCAACAGTGAATGTCTTGGATTCATTGATGAACAATAGAGCAATTGCAATCACCGTGCAACAAATTAGTGAGATTACTGATTGTGAATGGAAAAACTGCTCATCGTGAGCAAACAACCAAGAATTTATATCCATACCAATCCAAGCATACGTCTCCAAAAGGTCCCACAGTTTGCAGCATATCTAAATCATCGTAGACTTGCAGATTACTTGGATAATTCCACATGTATTTTCCACCTTTGTAGTCTTCATATGCGCTAGCATAGAGTTCCAGTTCGGTTTCCGTTTCAGCCACTTTCCATGAGCTGACCAAATGTTGTCGGATGAATTCTGCTTGCTAGAAACAGTATTTTTGAACACTTCAACTGTCGATGGCATTGTTTTTCGTGTTATTGTTGATAGCATCAATATTAGTCTTGGGATGTTCATCAATATCATTTGAGCAGTCACATAACGATGACAAAAAGAATTTGCGTTGAACCTTTTTTATGTTGATGACTCCGGCAGCATTTGAAGCGTCCATAATGATGGCGATATTCACCGAACAAGTCAGGTTTGAATGTTGCGGTGATTCGGTCGGTAGACTAAACATTGTTTTAAAGTTGTGCAATTGATTTTGTCGGATCACTTGTCAGTCATTTCATTGATTCGTTTCATTTCATTGGAACGAATTGCGAGAACGGTCAAAAATTTCGAACAATTTATGTGGTGACTGACTGGGTTGTGGCCGGTGCTGTTGATGTTGTTGAGGATTGCGGGGTCGTTGAAGGTGCTTCTGGTAAAGGCAACCTGTCAAGTTTTGGCGAGCAAATTTCTGCGTTAATCTGTAATCAATTTTGTGTCGCGATCATTTTCTTTGCATTTTTGATCCACATATTATGTTTAAAATGAGAAGTGAAAGGGAGTTGGAAATATGACATCGATAAGATTTCTGATGATGAACATAAGAAATAAGTCATTCTCCTTTTCGACGAAATGGCACGAAATCGGTAACAATGACGGCAGTATGCAATGTTGCTGATAACAGTAATGAAGATATCCACCATAGTCGCACGGATAATAAAATTAGAAGCAGGCACCAGCAATATTAACAATATCAATAATAGTAACAATAATAATATTAGGTGAGAGATGATAACTGGGTAACCTTAGTAGATAAATCCTCATCGAAGTGATTCGCCGCGATTACTGAGCCTGTGATAGATTTGAGCAGTCTGACGTTAACTCGATCACCTATTGCAATAATAACGATCTTGTTGTTGTTACTCGAAAACTCATCAACATAATAAAGAGCAGATTTGACGTCCTCATAAAGGCTGAAAAGAACCTGATTGATAAACGCTCATTTAAAAGTCTAATCCACAACAATACAGCCCATTGGTTGGAGTCATTTCATTTGTGACAAAACTGAAAGCATTTCCAAGGCTGTTTGAGTGGAGGTAGCAATCAATTGGTGGATATATTACTACAATGCATTCTTCTGATTCGACATCTTTCATTTTCAGTGCGGAAATACCTACTAGATGCAATCTTACCTGGCATACGTGAACACCATTGTGAGCAGCCGAACATTTTTGCGTTTGTTCCATAATGAGTAGGCGAATTCGCCGAACTGTCTGAAATTCAGAGTATTTCGTTGCAATGTTCTCGGAATTTGCAATATCATTCAAGTGGAAAAGCACTCTTCCATTGAACCATTTTACTATTGCCCTTCATAATACCATTGACTGTGTCGATCATAATATCATCTTATCTCGTCAAGCATTTTTCGCGATTATTACTGCATTTGATAAGCTCGTAATATTGTCCTTATCTTGCTGGTTTCTACTCAAATAAAAAGCTTGATTTGAAAAATTCTCAATGTTGACTCAAAAGCTTATTCGCTANTATCAGCATATTACCATCATTATCATTTTTATGAGTCGTTTTACAGGACTCGCGCTGTGATGGATAATTGATATAATTTCTTACTCCTCAATGCTTTCGTCGCCCTGTAATGGCGAGCAACTCAAATGCAAAAGATCTCGATGAAGTTCAGCCAGATCAGTATAGTTCATGTCGCCCTGGGTGTGCGATGCATCATCCAAACCACCAGCGATAGCATACACCTCAGTAGCAGCAGGATTCACGACCCATTTACTCGATAATTGATTCGCAACGAAATTGATTTGCTGAAAATTAGCAAATAGCAATTTATTTGTTGTGGTGTTTAGGTATAAACGGTATGGAGGACGTGTTTCACAGGACCGGCTGAATGTATTTGTTATCTACTGATGTGAGGTGAGCAAGTGAAATCAAATAGCTTAATCACATCACTCTTTCAATGAAACTTTATAGCCAATGACACTGCTAAAGTTCCCCGAGCTTACACGTATGTTGATATACCATACATGACTATGTGATCACTACACAAGCCATCAGTCGAGATAGAGTTGTGGAATACGGATGAATGTTTTCCTGTTCTTTTGCAATGTACAATACTGTCACATCTTGCACGGAATGAATCCATGCAGTGTGAGAAAGAAGCAAAAACGTTGATTAGTTATGGCCAATAGATTTCAATAAATACTGTGGTGATAGATGCTTATAAGTGATGAATGAATGAAATTGTGATCGCCGTATGCATATCGCTTGAATTCACGTTCAGATTACCTCAACAAGATTCGGTTTACCGGCCACGTTTGACGCATCAAAAGCTATGGCAATATCAACCAAGCAAGGCAGAGAGCCGGTGGGTCCAGTGGGCAGTATCATTGTTGTTGTTTCAGTTGACTGGGATGGGGTCGGTTTAGGGCTTGACGTGGTCGTTGGCGACGGGGTTGATATTACTGTTGGATGAGATGGGGATGGTTTGGGGCTTGACGTGGTCGTTGGCGAAGGGGTTGATATTACTATTGGATGAGATGGGGATGGTTTGGGGCTTGACGTGGTCGTTGGCGAAGGGGTTGATATTACTATTGGATGAGATGGGGATGGTTTGAGGCTTGACGTGGCTGTTGACGAAGGAGTTGTTGTTCCTGCTGTTGAACTGCTCAAGGCCAATGAGGTTGAACGTGAGGAAGTAGAAATCCGTGAAGTTGTCGCAGTTGATTGGGCACTAGTGCTTCTGCAAATTTTATCCTAATCTCACCACAAAACTGCAATTTGCATCTTTACCGTAACATTTTTCGATTGAACACTTTGAACTGTTTCCTCGCCGAAACAAAACGACAAGGACACCTCGAAGAAGTGATCAAATAGAGTCACATACTTCTGAGTG